TTGAGGTTTTTTTTTTTTTGTTTTGTTTTTGTTTCGGGCAATTGGGGTTAAGTGACTTGCCCAGGGTCACACAGCTAGTTAGTGACAAATGTTTGGTCTGAGGCTGAATTTGAACTCAGGTCTTCCTGACTTCAGGGCCAGTGCTCTATCCACTGTGCCGCCTAGCTGCCCCTATTGATTGAGTTTTGAAGAAGGGTTGGGAGGAGGAGAAGATGTGCCCAATACAGAGTACAGCTCATTTCAAAAAGGTACAATGATGGGAATGTCTGTGGATGGCCAGATGTTTTGCTTGCTTCTATAACCCATTGATTTGCAAGACAAAAATCATCCCTGTGCTCTGTGTGATTGAAGGGAATGTACAAATTAATGAGATCCCAGCTCCATTTGAATAAACTACAGCTCCTAGAAAGTCATTCATTTCTGTGAAACTGACAACCAGGACTGCTCCCTTGGCATTATTGACTCACTAGCTGACCTCTAGAAGCCAAGCTTGGTAACCTGGGGATTCTTCAGAATGTTTGGTTGATCATGACCTGAAGACAAATAGTTCTGAACTCTTATCCTGGAAAAGTCTGTGCCCAGAGTGATGGCTGATAATTATCATCCAATGTTTTTAAACATACATACAAAGTTACTTATTCTTCTTCTTCTAGAATGTTTTGAAGAATTATTCAAATGGATCTCTGATCTCATGAATGTGGGTATTCAATGGTTTATATTGCAACTCATCTATTCCTATCCAACCTGAGAAATTCTTAGCAATCTCCTCCCACCCTCATCCCTATAAGTTTGCTACTGAATGAATGTATTTAGGACCTTCCTCCCTTTGTCTTGACATTGTCAAGATACCAGTGGAGACCAGGTATCAATCCCTTGTTCTCATCATGTGACCAGCCCATCTTCTTTTTCAATTCTACATTTCTTTGAAGATATCCTTCACTGTAGTTCTTTATGATTTGTTGTGTTGCATCCTTCTTGTACTCAACTTTTGCCTCTTCATTGTTTTATGAATGATACCGATTTTTAATTCTTTGGAGACCATAGTATTCTATCATTTGCAGCTGCTGGTAGAACATTATTATGAAAAAGTTAGAATTTTGTTTTAGGGAGAAGTTGAGGTCATTGCAGGAACTTTTCAATTTCCCAAAGGCAATCCAGTCTACTCTCTTCTTATGTAGTTCTGGGGCTAATTTGTTGTCCATTTGCAGTGTATGTCCAAGATATACATGTCTTCACAAGATGGTCATCTAACCGCATGTCACATAATCCAGAGACAGCTGGCATTCTTCATTCACTTGATGTTTGCTATGTGGATTATTAGGCCAACTGTCCTTTGAACAGTTATGGATTTAATTCCAGAAGCTTGGTGAGGTTCTCAGGTTTGATACAATTGACACAGTGTTATCCAAAAATAGGAACAGCACCTAGAGGTCCTCATTATCTCTATGGGATCTTTTTTTTAGCTTAGATTCTGCATTAGACCTCATCTAAAATAATGGCAAACACCTTTGGTGAGCTTTTTATATGCCTTGCCTGATATTAACTACCAGAAGGTCATCAAACTAAGTCATAACTATATATATATATATATATAATCATACAGAGTTTAATTGTGATATACGTATGTGATTCACCTTGATACAAGAGAACTTTTAAGGCAGCATTTTGCTGTACCAAATAAAATGTTTTGTTTTTATCATCAGCAAACAAAAAAAAGTGCAAGAGGATCTTGGATTTTTTATATCTATCAGTTAGGTAAAAGTGTGGTCTACTGTAGACTACTTCTTGGGAAAGCCTGCCTCTTTCCTATTAATAACTTCATTAAGGATCTCCTAGATCTCTGTATAGATTATTTTCATGAAAATTTTATATAGATGGGAAACTCTGCATATAGGTCAGTAGTTAATAAGTCATCCATTGTGGGGTGAGGGTGGTGGGGAAAGGATTAAGAAGAACTGAGAGGTTTTCTCCTGCCTTTGGTATCTTCCCTTCCTTCACATAACTTTTGAATAGATAGTTCATTAATTGATCCCTCAACATCCTCATAATTACCTTAACTCTAGCATAGATCTTCTCTATAGTTTAATCCAGATGTTTTCCCCACCTTTGTTTTCTTTTGCACTATTTTTACCTCATCTCTAAGTATGGGTATTGGGATGTTAAGATTCAAACATAGTATTCCACTGTTCTTGATGGTTAAAAAAAAGTTCGTTGTAAAAATCACAGATCTTTTCCATCTTCTATTTGTTGTCTTCCAGTGTCATCCTTAAATTTCTATGGTATTATTTTGTTTTATTGGGTCTTTCACAAAGCTGTCTTTGAACTGTTTCTGTGCTCAATCACTTTTCTCTGTTTTATGAAGAGATATTAGTCATAATCTTTCATCATCTTTCTCTGTAACAGTTTACAAATAAGTTTATTTTCTAAAGCTATATTGACCTTGACTATCATATCTTTCTATGGCAAGAAAGGCAAATGGATGCTAATTATGATGGGTTTAGGCTCTTGATTTTCTTGTTATTACAGTTGATTTACATCAGTTAAATTGACTTTGAGCAAATCACTTAACTTCTCTGGACCATATTTTACTCTTCCATATGATAAGAGAGTTGGGGTAGGTGACCTCAGTGATCACTTTCAGCTCTAGATCTTTGATTCTTTTGATGATGAACTCCTATGTAAGATTATTGTAATCGGTGTCTGTCATTTCTTCTGTCCTTATCCTATTTTCACCATCAATAACATTTGAATAGGTAAAGGTCAAAGTTGTTTTAAAGAGATAAGGATAGAGTTGCTGGACTTGGAATCTCCCTTAAAACCAATTATTCTAAATTGCCCATGCTATATGCATTGCTCAGAGGAGTTCTGGCTTGGTGCTTTTTATTTGGTCATATATAGCACTTTCCATTAATTATCATGAAAATATGTTCACAGTGTAATGAGGGTTAATAATCTATGTTGTCTTCAAGCCTTTGACATTTCTTATTGCTTATTCTTGATCCATATTTTCCAAAAAAAATTTCCATCTTCTCCTATTCCTACTTATATAGAATATCACTGCATCTTCATTCTCTGAAACCACTGTTGGTACATAAATTACAATAATTTTTATGGTAGTCTTTTTGTAGATACATTACCATGAACACTGTAATATAAGATGGTTGACTGTCCCATAAAATGATGTTTCTCATTGCCTTGAGACACATGATAAGACTACTTATAACAACTTTTTAAAAAAAATTTGCCTCTTCAAGGAAAACCTATGAGTCATTCTTCCATTTAGCTATCTTTCTGTCTTCTGGTTTCATTTATAGTGAGAATGTCAAGATTGATACAGTTTAGTTCTTCCCTTGACTCATTGGGTATTAGACAAAGATCTCACATTGGGATTATCCATAGCTATGTTAAAATTTATAGAAGCTCTTTTTTAGTCTTTCTTACAGGGAAGAGGATAGCTAGGCGGTGCAGTGGATAGAGTGCTGGATCTGGAGTCAGGAGTTAAAATCTGGCCTCAAACACTTACTGTTTGACTCTGGGAAAGTCACTTAACCCTCTTTGCCTCAGTGCCCTCATCTGTAAAATGAGCTATTCACTTCAGCATGGTTATCCACTCCAGCATTTTTGTCAAGAGAACCCCCAAATGGGATCACAAAGAGTCAGACATGATTGAAATGACTGAGCAACAACAGGGAAGAGCTCTTTGGGTAAGGTAGGAGGAGACAGTAAATTCAGAAATGAATGTGATGTTAAAACAGAAAGAATCAATAATTTAAAATTATTTATTTATTTGTTTTTAGTTTTCAACATTCACTTCTATAAGATTTTGAGTTCTAAATTTTCTCCCCCTCCCTCCACTCTCCCCTCCCCAAGACATCGTGCAATCTGATATAGGCTATGCATGTACAATCATATTAAAGATATTTCCACCTTAGTCATGTTGTAAAGAAGAATTAAAACCAAAAAGAAAACCCACAAAAAAAAGAAATAACAACAACAAAAAGAGAAAATAATATGCTTTGATCTGCATTCAGACTCCATAGTCCTTTCTCTGGATGTGGATAGCATTTTCCATCATGAGTCTTTTGGAGTTGTCTTAGATTCTTGTGTTACTGAGAAGAGTTAAGTGAATCAATAATTTTTAGAAAGGAAGTTTGGACAGAATCTAAACTCTGTAATTTTTAGTATGTTTTGACCCCTTTTCTATGACAATCGATCTTGAAGCAAAAGGAGACTGTCAAAACCTGAGGCAGATTTTGTATTTTTATTTGTCTGTTTATTTTATCAGTTGTCATAGCCAAAGATTTCATCATCAAGTCCCAACCTACTGGTGATGAACTTTCTTGAGCCTAGCTAGGCTGGTCCTCAAAAAGTAGATTCATTCTGTCACCAGTATTATATTCCAAGTCTCTCCAACATAGTCAAATCTGCCAGAGTTGCAAATTAAGAATTGCCAACATTCTTACTTCCAAAGTAAAAAAGATAAGATTAAAAAATGTTAAGTTATGGGACAGCTAAGTGGCACAGTGGATAGAGCACTGGCCCTGAAGTCAGGAGGACCTGAATTCAAATCCAGCCTCAGACCAAACACTTGACACTTACTAGCTGTGTGACCCTGGGCAAGTCACTTAATCCCAATTGCCTAAAAAAAGTTAAGTTATTATATAAATCCCTTCTGGTTGGAAAAAAATGTCTTCAAAGAGTTTCCTTTTCATGACGTATTATGTGTCCGTAATCTTTATCTCTTCCACCTTAGGTCCCATTCCATAGAGAAGAAAAGCAGGTTTGTCTCTTTGGCAAAGTCACAGAGAGAGACTGGTTAGTCAGGCAGTAAGTGTGCTGAGCAGAGCAACCCGAGTTGGGAAAGTATGTGGCAATCCTATGACTGTCACGAAATGAGTTAAAGCCAGTACCTGAACAAAGGTTGCAGGTGTTTTTACACCTAATTAAGTTTCTCAGACTCAATGGGCTGTGAACAAGATCTAGGAGATCCGTTCCATAAGTTAAGAGATCCAATGGAGTTGTAGCAGGCAAACTAGCAGAGACCAGTCAGTGGGTAGTGTTATGGCCAATGAGAAAGTGGATTTTTAAGCTCTTGCCTATGATTCTTGGACATTAACAATCTGCTTGGAATGTGAAGGAGATAAACTTTATAGACATAGAGAAGTATGGATAATAAAGCTGGAATATGTGATATTCTGTAGAAGAAAGACCACTGGATTTGAGGTCAGAAGACCAGGATACAAATCCCAGATAAAAGGGACTTGGGGAAAAAAAACCAAACTACCTCAATCCATTCACCTCTTGTGGTGGTAACAGACCAATTCTTTTCCTGGTGCAAATTGAACACATGGCTGGCATGACAGACAGTGAGATAGCAAGCTCAAAGTAAGAAGAAGAAAAGGAAGTTGGAGCAAATTTAAAGTGGAGGGAGAAGGAAGATAGTGTCTGAAGATGAGCAAGGTATGACTAGATAAATTTCTAAAGTAATTGCTAACTCTTGAAGTCTTTGAATCCAAATCAGAAAGATGATATGAAAGAAGGTGATAGGGGTCCTTAGGGAAAAGAACTGGGTCTGTTTGTATGCTCTCCACAAAAGTGAAATTGCGTCCTGAAAATTTTTAGGTCACTCTTATTTTTTACAGATACAAACTCTTAACAAATCTATTATCCTGGAATGGTATATTAACTTTGAAAATAGAACCTTATTTCTGGGAAAAACAGATAAACAAACTCTGGACTTGTATTCGTTGGAATTGGGTTTTACTTAGGAGATTTTAGGAAAATTATCTCAGTTTCCTGTTGTTAAATAAAGAAATGGACTAGATGATTTCTGAGGTCCCTCTCAGCTTTCATATTTTGTAATTCTTTCATTCTGTGATGCTATTATAATGTTAAAAGGAGGTTGGAAATAAGGGAACTATCATTTGTATTGTCAATGAGTGGAAAGGCAATAGAAACTCTAGAAAGCAGGCAGAAGAAATGCAAACCACATGGTAGAGAAAACATTGGGGTCTGAGTTGAATGCTAAATTGTCCTTTGACAGGAGCTCTGAATTTCATACTTTGCCATATTCAATTATTTTATCAGTGTTTCTTGCTTTGTAAGGCAACGTGATTAAAAAAAAGGCAGCTAGGGGATGCAGTGGTTAGAGTACCAGTCCTGGAGTCAGGAGGACCCGAGTTCGAATTTGACTTCAGACATGTAGTAGCTATGTAACCCTGGGCAAGTCACTCAATCTTAATTGCCTCTTCTCCACCACCACCACCCCCCGCCCTGAAAAAAACTCCAAACAAACCAGTATGATATAGTGGATGGAATGCTGGACTTGGAATCAGGAAAACCTGGGTTCAAGTTCTGCCCCTGACACTTAACTAGCAATCTGATCCTGGGCAAGTCACTTGACCTCTATTTACTTTATACCCTCTATGCTCACCTATCTACTAAGTCAGGGTTTGGGCTTTGCATTGGTGAACGGTGGTCCCTGGGCTGAAGAAATCACAGATCCTTCCATTACTCAAGGACTCCTGCTTTCTATGGCTAATAAAAAGTAATTTCACAATACAGGGTTATGAATAAGGAATATTAGCCCAGAAGACTGAGAACCTTTTTCTGTATCTAAGAATGATCAGGAAGAAGTCTTTGATTTATTGAACCCATCACCACTGCAGAGTGGGGTCTGGGCAACACCAGTAAATGAATGGGTCTAGAAATAATAATAACTAATATGTACATAGCACTTTAAGGTTTGCGAAGCACTTTACATATATATATATATATTATCTCTTTTGATTCTTAGAACAACACTATGTGGTAGATATTTCTATAATTCTCATTTTATAGATGAGGAAACTGAGGCTGAGAAAAGTTAAGGGACTTGCCCAGAGTCACGCAGTAGGTTTTTGAAGCAGAATCTGAATTCAGATATATCTTCGGTGCTAGCATAGTTCTCTATCCACTTTGCCACCTATCTGCCAGCTATGAGCTACCTGACTGAAATCTGGGCTAGAAAATCCTATAGAGCCAGGCAAAATTAGGAGAGATACCAAAACATCGATTGCCAGGAAATTATCACTTTGATTTTAACATGCCCTGATATGGAGTCAGTCCTCTCAAATAGGACTAGTCAAATATAGGAGCAACAGTCTCAGGCTCGCCAAACACACACAAGAAATGGGACAAGAAGGTATGGCGTGGCTGTGATATGTTTGAGGGGATAGGCAAGGCCTCATCCACCTGGTGGCAGTTTGCCCACATTACAGTCATTAGGCTGAGGATGAAATGAACGCCTAGGTACTTGCCTTGCTAACTCATAACTATAAGGTGAGGGCAAACATGACTCTCTGAGTTTTTAGGATTCCCATGGAACTACTGGTGTGTCATGGAAACCAGGGCTTCAAAGTCCTGACCAGATCTGTGATGGTGAGAGAAGGACAGGCTAGAGAAATGGGATGAATTAGTCTTCATCTCAGGGAACAACCCTCCTCTCCCTTCTTCTTTCCCATCAAAGACTTAAGATCTGTTGATATCCCACAAGGGAAATGAGGGCTGCAGAGATATGGAGAACCGTCTGGTGCTGGCAACTTCTAGAGGGTGAAGATAAAAACAATTAGAGCCAGAACTCCTGGAGTCATAAGGCGGCATGGGATAGTGGAAAGAACACTGGATTTGCAACCAGAGGGCATAGGTCTGATTTCCAGCTCTCATCCTTACTATGTGATAGCCTCTGAAAGTCTCAGTTTTCCTCATCTGCAAAGTAAGGAGCAGCTATGTGGCACAGTGGATAGAGTGCTGGGCCTGGAGTCAGGAAGACATGAGCTTAAATCCCCCTACACTAGCTGTATGCCCCTGGGCAAGTCACTTAACCCTGTTTGCCTCAGTTTCCTCAACTTTGAAATAAGGAAGTTGGACTTGACCTCTAAAGCACTTTCCAGTTCTAAATCAATGATCACATAAGTTGTGACATTTAATACATTTAATAATATTATTAAGAATAGCTAGCATTTATATCACATTTTAGTGTTTGCAAAGTGATTTATATACCTTATATCTTCGCAACAACTTTGTGAAGCACCCAGGTGCTACAGTGGATTGAGTGCTAGAGTTAGAATCAGGAAGACCAGATTTCAAATCCTGCCTTAGACACTTATTACATGTATGATCCTGGGCAAGTCACTTAACTTCTCTCTGCCTCATTTTCCTCATTTATAAAATAGGGATAATAATAGTACCCAATTTACAGGGTTGTTGTGAGGATTAAATGAGATGATATTTGTAAAGCACTTTGCAAACCTTAAAGAACTATATAAATCCTAGCTTTTATTATTATCTCCATTTTCCAGATGAGGAAATTGAAGTTGAGAGAGTTAAGCACCTTGCCCAGGGTCACATAGCTAGTAAGTGTCTAAGGCAGGATTTGAATTCAGGTCTTCATCTCTCTAGGTTCAACATTCTATTCAATGTGCTATCTACTATGCCATTTTCTAGTTTAGCTTCTAACAAAAATGGAACAAACACTCTTCAATATAATAACCCTCAAACAAACATGTCAAACCAGACTTAATTCACCATGGGACAGCAAATTATAATGGAAAACAAAATAAAACACTGATCTTAGAGTCAGATGACTTGGATGCAGTCCCATCACCATTCCTTACCCACTTTGTGATCTTTAGCAAGTCATATGACATCACTGCACCTGAGTGCCTTCATCAGAGAAATAATCCCTGGTCTCATAGGGTTGTGAGGATTCAATGTATGAAAGAAGAAAAGAAAGAAGAGAGAAAGGAAGGAAGGAAAGAAGGAAAGAGGAAGGAAAAAAAGAAGGCGGAAGGAAGGAAAGGGAAAGGAAAAAAGAAAACAAAAAGGAATTATTTCCTTCCCCATTGTAGTGTAAGCTTTATAAGACTAGGGACTGCCTTACCTTTTGGATTTGTATTCCCAAACCTAGCACTTTCATTGCTCAGTTGTTTCAGTGGTATCTCACTCTTCATGACCTCATTTGAGGTTTTCTTGGAAAAGATACTGGAAAGGTTTGTCATTTCCGTCTCCAGCTTATTTTCTAGATAAGGAAACTGAGGCAGACAAGGTTAAGTGGCTTGTCCAGGGTCACACAGCTAGTAAGTGAGGCTAGGTTTGAACTCAGGAAGATGAGTCTTCCTGACTTGAGGTCCAGTGCTCTGTCATCTGCACCACCTAGAAGCCAAACTTAGCACAGTGCTTGGCAAATAATAAATGCTTTTTCATTCATTCTTCAATCATTCATTTGTTCATATGTCCAGGACTAGGTTGCCCATCAGTTAACAGAAGTCAAATCTAACTAACCCTTAGGTAACTCTTAAATAACCACTTCAGTAACTGCCTGTGACTTGGTTTGGTTTTAGCAGTCAATTTATTTGTGGGTCCAAGGATATCCCCGAAGGATTTTGACTTCCAGTATTATAACATGAGTTCCCCCATGTGTTATACCCCTTAATATTAATCAACTAATACAACTCTATTAGCTTTTAGAAAAGAGTATCTACTGAGAAGGTTGTTGTTGTTTGTCCTTCGTTCTTGAAGAGGACCATGATATTAGGAAGGGGACGCCATGACTTGCAAATGAATTGGATTTAAGTGAGGCAGGGCTGTGCAAGATCACCAGTCTCACTTTCTCTTCCAGAGCCATTTGAGTCCGGTGATAAGATACAGACTCTAAATGCACACAGTGAGAAGATATAGCAAGAAGAATAGTTATAAAGCATTCCCTCCAGCCTGGGAGCACTCTCTCCCCTTGACACACTGCATCCCTGGGGAAAATGGGCTTAAAGTGTAATGGAAGTGAGGCACAGTGTATAGACTTGCACTGTCATTGTTCAGACTAATTCGTAGTTCTTTCCTCTTCCTCTTTCCCTCCCCCATATCTAAGTGGCAAAGTCCCGTTAATATTTATGCATAATATCTTGTAGCTTCTCTTCTTCATTCACATCATCTCTACTGTGGACAAAACATCTCTCACTTGGATTGTTGGATCTGATCCCTAATTAGTCTTCCTAGTATGAATCTCTTCCCCCTTCAATCCATTCTCTATGGATGCCAAATTCATAATGTAAGACTGAAGTCTAATCATTTCACTCTCCACTTCTTAAATTTTCAGTGTCCACTACTGTCTCTAGAATAAAATACAAATTCCTGACCTTGGCATTTAAAGCCATTCAAAATCCAGCTCCAATTTACATTTTCAGACACACTTCATATTAGTTTCTTTCACAAACTCAGTGTTCTTGCCTAATAGTCCAATAGCTGTTCCCCTTATCTACCATTCCATCGCTGTCTCCATGCCTTTGCAAGACTGTTTTCCTCTTTCTTTAAAAAAAATAAAGTTAGATAATTGTTTATTTTATTAATAATTTTATGTGATAGTTAATATCATGTAGGATATGATTATATTGATAATTTTGTATATTTTATAATTGTTTATTTAA